AGCAGCACATCCAAGAAGGACACCTCCAGACTAGACAAACTGGTCAGGCGAGGCGGCTCTGTGATTGGCAAGAAGTCGGACTCTCTTGGGAAGGTGGCTCAGACAAGGACACTGCTGGACCTTATGGGCAATGCCAGCCACCCTCTGCACACAGTCCTCAGCAGAAGCCTGGTCAGTGGGAGATTGCTCCTCACCAAATGTAGAGCCATAAAGCTGTACAACTTCTCACTTGGGGGAAGGAGGAGGTGGTAGGTGATAGGAAGATAGGAACGTACAATATTCTTCTTTCTCCCTTTGCAATAACACGTGCCAACTACTGTGTAGTCGGTGTAATTGTATACTTATTTATAAGGTCGATACATCTCTGCAGAACCAGTGCCACAACCCAAGACAACTACTGTGTAGCCTGTATAATCTTTTTACACATACTCCGAACTTTTTTACTATCTATATGGTCAGCACTTCTCTCCAGTGCAAGTGCAATAATCCAAGTCAACTACTGCGTAGTCTTTACTCTTCTCTTTTCTGTGCAGATATTTTATATCTAAAGGACTGTGTTTTGCACAAAATTTAAACAAGTGAACAAAATCAGATCAGAAGCTTTTGATGGCAGTTACTATTAAACATAAGTGATTAAGTGTGGCCAACAATTTCTTCCAGCCAATGTGGTAAGCTAGGCTAAACCTGCTTAGCTAATTCTTTATGGTCATTTAAAAGAGGTATAGAATCCCAACTGAAACCAGACTGAACAGGCTTAATTATACAATTATGTTCTAAAGGCTAAACAGTTTGCTGAGCAAAATAAATAAATTCAGCTTATGTTAGGGCCCTCCAAAAAAACTGTTTTTTCTTTAGATTTATGACTAAAGATCATTCATATAAATTTTCCTTGTCAATACTTTACCCAGCCTAATAATATTAGATGGTACATATATGTAAACGAAACATGTTTGGCAACCTGAAAAATTGGTCCTTCTGACAGGATTTCATCCACCTGTTAAAAAAATTACAGCATCAACACCAACATAAAACCATGTGTCTATATGTGCCACAGAGTTTGTGTGTGCTTATCCCAGAATCCTAATGACAGGATAGAATGGCCATGACTGGTGTTGCCTTGGTGACAAGCGCCATGGATATGTGACAAAGGGAGAAACAGGAGAGTGTCGGTGACACAGACAGACACATATGGCTGTGAGACAGCTTTTGATTGAGTACCAGGAAAATAAATTGTCTATAGCACAAATTAATTTTGGAATAGAATGCATAAAAAAAGCTAAATTAATAAATATATTTAAATAAAGTTAATATCAGACGTATGATCTGGGTATGTGGTACAGGAAACTATTTAGGTGTATTATAACAGCCTCCATAGAGAGATACTTTGAACAAAATTTCCATAAACCATACCAGGTACCGCCTGCACATGCAAATGCAGGATTGTGTTTGTAATCAAAGAAGAGCTGGATGTGCTTGGCAACAGCTGGGTGGGGTTTTTTTATATTTTACTTTCCATTACCGACATTGCATGGATCCTAAGACATGTATTTCAAAGCAGATTGTGGATAAACAGAGGAGTACAATCACATCTATGATCTCATCCTGCTCCTTTCACTTTTCTTATTAAGTTGCTTTTTCTACAACTTCCAAAGCCCTTGTGTAAGCCTTCCTCTGCTTTTTAGGCTGTCAAGCTTCTTGCTCATATGTTTTAAATACACACACACTGAATTAAATATGACTATGATAGTAGGGCTTTGATGACTGAATTCTAATTACACCAACTGTGCCCAATTTAAGCACGTTGAGCCATGTCTGAGCGAGAAAGAGCGTGCATACTTATCTGGTTCTGGGTCGGAGACAAGTTTATCAAAGGGAATCCAGAGCAGCCTGCAACACTCATAATAAAAACAGAAGTGTCACCTTTACCATAAGACCTCATTTCTGTGTTTTTGTTGGTTGTGGTTTAAAAAATAGCCCTGTGTAAATGGCAAGTTTACAGAGAAAAACAACCACACACTGTCTGAGTGAAGCACCAGCTTTGCACTGGACCACATAGGAAGTAAGCAACTAGACACAAAAATGTTGACTCAGGCTTCTATTTTTTAAATCATTACTGCAGCTCCAGTCATCCAGACTCCATTTCATACATCGTTTCTTGCACTAAAAAGCAGCATGTTAAAATGTTGAACCATTGTTTCAAATTTGTCATGTGAACTCAAACTTGACAGTCAGTTTGCAGCACTGTTGCTTGTTAGCATGATGTGAAGATTTAAACAAAAATTAAACCTTTGACTCATCTCTCAGCATCCTGTGGCAATGATCGTCCATTATTCCTGATGTTTGCCTTGTTTTCTTCAATGAAGTGATACAAAAAAAACAATTACTGAATGCATTGTTTTGGTTTGGACCCTGGCTTCATTAACCTTTATGAAACTGTAATGCAGGTCTTACACAGGGGAAAAAAACAGGGGTATTTTAAAAAGCACTGTAGAGACTTTGCCCCATCCATCTGTCTTTTTCATAGAGATAAACACAAATGAGAAGTTGCAGGTTTCCAATTATCTTGGGAATTTGTCCACTTACAGAGACATAAATTCACTGTGCCATTTAATAAGCAAAATAAAATAATATTTTGCTGGACATTTCATACTTATTGATGGAGTCCTGAGCAGTTTGGAAGAACCAGATAACAAGGCAGAGAACACGCTTTTTAAGCACTGGGTTAGAAGCCAGAGAGTTACAAGCAGGAATTTGAATCTGCGTGCAAAAACTTGATGATGCACCATGTTAGCCAGCCTCAATTTTTCACGTTGTTTCAGCAACAAATTATCCACTTAGGACAGCGGGGGGTGAACTGGTATTTAAAACGACGCATGGGTGGAGTGGTCTGTTTTCAGGAAGTGTGAGCGAGCAGAAATGACGAATGTCTGCAGGCCAGTGAATAATTAAACACAATGGACTTTCACACCTGAAGCCCGGTTGTACAATGTATTTGAAGGAGTTTGCCCTTTCATTGGCCTTCATATGGTACGGAAGAATTGTATTCAGTTAGGTCTTTTTTACCCCCTGTTTGTGACAGCAAGAGGATTTATCCAATTACTCATCACGTTTGTGTCTTAGATAAAAATGGGCTTCAATGGGTTGTTGGTTCATATCTCAAATGCATAAAATCAACTCCAAGTTAGTTTTTTTAAGCTTATCTTTATCAGTGTCATGCAAAGTAAGAACTGACTGAGAGAGATAAGAGCACAACTGCATACAATACAAACTTTCAGTAAAAAATGTTAGAGGACACCTTCCCAGGAATTCTGTCCATCAGCCCCTCATTGATTAAAGAGTAGCAGAGTTTTTGTGTTGATGTTTAATCTACCTGCCCTCAGACACTTGTTTGGATCCAGCTTGGTTTAGTAATGTTGGGATTTTCAATAATTCATTTTGAAGCCTTTCCTATTGGAAATGGTCCAAAATGGTGCAAAGAGAAACGGGAATTGCCACCTTCTTCCACTCAATGGTGGCACAGGCGTACAATATAGAAATACACAAGTAAATGATTCTGTCACTGCCATAATGGTGCATAAAATATCATCATGTTCCTAACTGAAAGATAGTTATGTAAAAGATTGTAAAGAGGAGCAAAGGTTGACGGACATGCTTTTATGGTCTTTAGGCCAGGTTTGCATTTAACTCTTAATCTTAGACTGACCTCTTACTGCGTCAATAAACATTCACATTTTTTAAGGCTTCCATCATGTCAGCAGCAAAAGAAAGAAATCCTCACACTGCCCTTGTGCCTGTCCATGGTCTTAATGTTGTGGCAGTCCGCATAAATGCGAAATATTTCAGCCATAGTAACAATAACATCTGCTATATTATCTGGTAAAAGCTTTTAACATTACACATAGGGACTTTGCCAAAGGATTATAATCGCACATAAACATGTTAAGGCAGTCTTCGCGACGGTGGGTGCCTCAACAGAGTCTCACGAGCGGTGCTTTTGGTTGAACCATTTATTTTCCAGTAACACACATAGGCAACACAATTGAACCCCGAGCTGGTCCAGCTGTTCCCTGCTCTACTTCCATTCCGCTCCAGGTCCAAGATGCTTACTTTTTTAACAAGGGGAGAGCGATTAGCCAACTGATTCTAGGTGTGCCAATCACATCCGCTGGCACTGCTCCCCTGAGCCTTACCCACACCTCCCCTCCTGCATCTGAGCGCCACGCCCCCTCCAAACATGGACTGGAAAAATGGAACGGTGTGCCATAAAGCCTCTCTTTTACTGTCAAATTCTCTTTGCCCTGCTAAAACAACAGTCCATCTTTCTTTTCCCACAACCACCACTCTTGGGAAGAAACAAGTTTTGTTTTTAAACTCTGGCATCTCCCATATCTTTTTGCAAGACAGAGCTATCTGTCCAAATAAAAAAAGAAAAAAACATGTGGGAAGTAAACTGTTCGCTGATTTATTCACACAGAGCCTAATCCATTCAAACAGGAAAATAAGTCAATCCTTGCTTGTGTTTAACTGAAAAGTCGGAGCAAATCTATGTAAATGCATGAGCGCTGTGAAACAAGAAGATGCTCTTGACCTATATTGCTCCTCCACAATTCCTTCTACCAAGGAGAGAATATCACAGGAAGCTGGCAGCAAACCGGCTTATTAGCTTATTAAAAATCGCCACATCGGAAGAAAGTAGAAAGGAGTGGGAAGACGGGAAATAACAAAGCAGAGTGAAATTAGGCTGAAAGACAGTCTGAGGCTTAACGTAGTCCAACATCCTCATATAACTCTTTAAATAAAAATCTGAATGTGTAAGGTAGGAAACAAGAGAAAACTGCTGGAAAATCCTGAGGAAGGTTTCAAGCTCAACTCTTGACGTGCAAATGGAACATTGCTTTTAAGCAAAGTTCTTATAACAGTACTTATAACATTGAGATTTGTAAATTTTAGGAGATTCTCACTCAATAGACAGCAGTGAACATAAATTCGACACAAATTACTCCGGCTCGGCCAACCCTCGTGGCTTTGTAACTGCCTGCGCAACCCTGCCCAAAAAAAAAAGAAGAAAAGCATTTTAGCTTTGATGGAGACCAAGCCTGGCAGAGGCAGCAATAGATAAAAGCAGGTGATTTTGTTTGTTAACAAACAGGATGAAGTGCAGGATGTGTTGCTGTCAGCGCAGCGGCCTGCGGTAACCTGCATGCACTAAAAAGCACATATACCATAGCTCATTTGAAAGTCCACAGCCACGAAAGAGGAAATTCCACAGAACTTCACTCTGAATACATCAGAGTTTCCACTGATACCAAAAGTATGAAGCCAAATTACAGGGGCTTTTTTTTAAGAACATAATGCTGTGACTCTCCTTTTAAACTATTGCAAGGTTTTTAATTTAAATTTATTACACTGCTGCCTGCAGCATGGTAAATGATCAACTGATTAATTTAAGAAGCATGAATATGTTTATCTTACACCCTTTTTCTATTCTCATTTTGAACCAACAAGATACACTAAATTGAGAAGCTTCTGTGGGCTCAAAGGAGAAGCTAAATCAGAAGTCAAAGCTGGTTACATTTTGACATCACAGCAGAAAAACTATAAATACAAACAAGATGGTATACAACGGCCAGATATAGACTGTTATGTCTGTTTTATATACAGAGCGCTATCTTTTTCGGGGGCTGAACACTGTGTTAGAATACAGGTTTCGTTTCAAGGAAACATTCATATCAGTACTTAAGACTGGGAGGTAAAGTCTCCATTTCTCCATTGATCTGCACTTTGATTAAAAGCAACTAAAATACAATACGTGGGAAAGTTAAAAAAATGAAATAATACATTTGGACAGCAGTGTGGTGAGTTCCTTGCCCGGCTTGTTAAATGTGATTTTCCATCAAAAGCAGAGCATTACAGAGCACTGGGTCACGGAAAAAAAGTATAGCCAGCCAACATCTGAGCAGGTGTAACATTAGCCTTGTTCATGAGCAGCACTCGATTCTCAAAATAAGAACATGTGGCAACTTGTGGATCAGAAAGTCACCATTCACCATTGTTTCCATAGTCACAGCTGAGAAGTTACTACATAGGTCACTTATTTTTAACCATAGCGAATACTAGAGATGGGAGAGAGTTAGAGTGCAACCAGGTTGAACACTTTCTCAGGATACAGCGTTATATGCAGCTGTGTTTTCTTCACCTTGTTTGGAGGTACATTTGAAATGCAGGAATAGGAATATCTCAGCTCAAACTAAACCGCCTTCAGCCCAACTAAAGCCAATAAGCAACCAGCAAATTTGCCACTTGAACTCAGTGACAGGTTGGAGTTGGTCTGAATCCCCAAGCCAAACTCAAGAAAGCCCAATACAGCCTTGATGAGATTTTTCAGCCACCTAATTATGTAATGAGCTCTGCCACAAATAACACGCTTTTGTAGGACAGCGATCAACAAACGGTATCAGGGAAAAAAAGCATGCTTTTTGTTCCAAGTGACTGTGTAAACACAGGCTTTTAATCCGCTTTGGCACATGGGCTGCAGCAGGTCAAGTGATCGGGCAAAGAGATTTAGACAAGCAGACACATACAGACAGAGTCCTTGCTTCATTAAAAACAGCTGTGATAGCCTGGGGGTTGAATGGGAACTAAAGAAGTTATGGTGCAAATAAATACAAATAGCACAAAAAAATGGAACTCTCATTTGATGCCTGGTTTTATAATTAAGATCAGGCATGTACCTGAAATATACTCTGGCAGATTTGGCACAATACATGCGAGACTGTAAGGAAGCAATAATATTCCTTTATGTTTGTTCTACAGTGTCACTGATATGTGGGGTTTATGCATGATTAAAGCCTAAATATAAACTGTCAATCTCCAGAGATGCTCAGTAAAAATAAGAGGGTGATTTAGTTTTAAAACAAATATTGAGTTGTCATCCCTTTGATTTAAGAGAAGAAATGTTAATCCTATTCAGCTGCACTCACCTTCTTCCCAGAGGAGCCAGTTTTGGAGAGGCAGGACTTATCAAGGGTTAGGTACCCACCGATAACTTCAATCTCCTCCACAGCAGGGTAGCGCTTTTTCAGCAGGGTGCCCAGCTGAGCATATGGGGCCTGAAGTGGAGTGGAACCAGGGTGGGGCTCGTTCAGGGCTTCCTGCTGACACTCTGGTGAGCCCGGATGAACGTTGGCCTCCACCTTACGTTTAGGAACGACAGTGAAGGTGTTCCCCTTCTTCCTCTGCACTAGGGGGCTGGGGACAGGGACACGCTTGGGAGGTTCCACCTCAACTTCGTCTATGTTTGTTATCAGCAGCTGTTCTACATTCTGTGGATGTAGGGCAGGTGTGAGAGAGTCTGTCAGAAGAGGAGAGATGAGCGGTGAGGAGGGGGCAGCAGGAGAAGAAGGAGGTGAAACCAGAAAGGGTGGAGAAGTAGGTGATGGGGTGAGAGCTTGGGTTGGGGATGAGGACGGTGAGTTCAGAGGAGGAGCAGGACTTGTGGAAACACTAGATGTTTCAGGTTTGGATGTCCTCGCTGCCATGTCCAACTCCTCCTCCTGGAGATTTTCCTCTTTCCTTTTTGTGAAGTTAGGAGTAACCACTTGTAAAAGAGAGTTTGGCATTCCAAGCGTGAGAACCTCTGAAGCTCTGGATGAGTGGGAAGATTTCACAGTACCAGATGTTGCCATGCTGCTTCCTGAAGAGGAAGCTGGGGGATGGCGTTTGGGGATCACCATGAAGGAGTTTCGAGATTGAAGGCGCAGGTTTGCAAGGGCCTGAGCCTGAGTATCCCCATCAGGAATTTTAGCAAGGTCTGGCTTTGGGGAGGGGCGAATCTCGTATTCATGTGAGGAACGTGACACCTTGGTTGAGATGGAGCTAGAGGGGGACTCAGCACGAACACGACGGCTCTCAGGAGAGCATGGCACCTTGGGTTTGGGGGACGTCTCAGCTATCTCCCACTCTCTCTCTCTGGTGAGCTTGTTTAGGGCACAGTCTGGCTCATCTTTAGGGATGAAAGCTGCACCGTGAATCCCACTCTCCTCAAACTGCTGACGGAAGGAAAACACAGACTGTGAGGACCCAGAATGGCACATGGGACTGCTCACCTCAGGGACAGCAGGTTGTGGCTTTGGTTTGGAAGACCAGGAACCCTGGAAGACTGGTGATCGTGGCTGGCTGTTGCCCGGACTGCTGACCGACAGGCCAACCTGGGGCTTTGGCACCAGATCTCGCTGTGGCTTGGACCAGTGTCTTGGCCTACTACTGGGACTACAGTCCAGGTCCAGCAAGTTCTCTGTGCTGCGAGATTTCTTCTGCAGATTACCATAGTTGCTATCAAACTTCTGCAAAATCCGACTAACTCTTCCTTGACCCTCAACTGAATCATATGAAACCTCATTACCTGGCCGACCCAAGGTGCTAAGATTCTCCTCACTTTTGCTTAACGCCGTGTCATAAATGACCACTTCCTTGGCTCTGATTTCAGTAACAGCACTGCCTCTCCGGTCAAGAAGGTCGTTCAAAGAGCTGTAACTGTCACCACCGTTTTGTTGCCAATTGTCCCCGCATTTAACTCCGCCAGTTTCTAGAAAGTAATCCGGATCCGACTCTATTATGATAATATTCTCCGCGCGGATAGTCCGTATACCTGGGACGCCGCCGTATAGTTCCAGGATGTGTTGAACAGGGCGAGCGGCATGATCTCTGTCCTGTCGCTTTCTCCGCTCCTTCTCTAATTTGATGAACGGATTCTCTTCCAGCGGCCCCAGGCTCTCCTGCAGCACCAAGCTCTCGTGTCTGCTATCCTTTCTCGGTGTCGTCTTCTCGGTGGCTGTCGGTTGAGGCTCTTTGTTGTTCGCGAAGTGTTGACTGCCTGTGGTGATGGTGTAGTTCCGCCCGGACCCACCGGTCGCTCCGCTGTCTTTGTTGAGTCCACTGCTGCTACTGTTGCCATTCACGTTTCCCGTTACTTCACCATTTACTCGTTGTGGACTCGCACCACCTGGACTAATGTCCGGAGCAACGGTTCCACCAGCACCGACGCCCTTCGCCTTTCTCCTCTCCAAGATTTCTCTCTTCCAGGCCGGCATCCCCGGACTGTCTTGAACGGCCTCTGGGCGGAGGACACGAACCTCTCCACTGCCAGACATTGCGGAGGGCTGCTCGGAAGAAATAAGGAGAGAGGCAGTTTCCGAGGCGGTCTTGCTGCGGTCCGGTGTGACTATAATCGCTGAATCCAGCTCTGACTATACCTGCTGCACCAATTAGCATACGCTCACACACATCTCTACCGTTCTTTCCCTTTTCTCCCTTCGCTTATACTGTGTGGCTCAGCTTTTTTCCCACGGCCCTGAATGTGGTCCCACCCCTTCTCTATTGCACACGCTATTTTGGTTGTCTCACACGGTTGTTGATTGGTCTTCACCGTTCATAGACACGCCTCTTTACTTTCCTTATAGCGCAACATGTGAACGCAAACCACCCCCTTTTCTATTGTTAACTGGACTAAGGGAGCCTGTCAGTCAAAAGAGTTGCGTTCAAATTTAATCCGCCACTTCAAATTTTAACGTCACTTTGCACGAATTTCGTATTAACTGTAATTGAATACTTATGGACTAATTGTCTTAGTATTTAACTGTAGCAACTGTTTTGCGAGATTTACAAGACCAAATCATTCATTCTTTTTAGGCCGTTGCTGCCCTTACACCATTTTCTTTCCCCAAATCCTTCCTATATAATAGATTTCCATTTGCTGGAGTTATTATTCAATATCAACGATAGTGTAATGGAGTGTAATTTATTTGATAGTTGTTTGCGTTAGAGGGTGGAATTCTTGTCTTTCCGAGCCGACGCGTGGTCATTGAGCATTTTGCTGTTAATGCCACCTTTCGATAATCCGGGTGCGTCAAACCAGAGACGAGCAGCAAAGTGACAATGAATCAGTACTAAGTGGGCTGTTCTTGGGTACTACAAGCGACTGTTGCAACCAATTAAATATTTATCGCCAAGCTGTAATGAAGCATATCTTGAGTAAAGAGGGAAATAATGATAAATTGGTCAATTGCGCATCAGTTCTATGTGGGCGCAGGTTTTATGAGACATCAAATCTTCAATATCATAATCGGAATTTGGATCGTGAGGCTGCATCACACACAATCCGATATTACTTAAAACTGTTTTTTCTTCTGTAAATCAAAGAAAAATCTAGATTAGTGAACAATTTGTGCTAAATATTTCGGATTAATTCACAGAATACGTTGTCTTAGTCCTACTGATTTCCTCACAAATGAATGAGTTCACTGTCTAAGAAGCAAGAAAATAACGTTATCCCAAAAATAACATGGTTTTAAAACTGATTGAAATGCTGCTAATGTGATGTCACTTTATTTTGTGTCAAACCATTTCCATACATGTTAGCAGCGCCATCCTACGGTCACAGTACACCCCCATCCACTACCACTTTCAACAATGATTAATTCGGCAATATTATTTTAAATGTTTTTATTTACATGTATACACAGATGACCACAAATATTTCATAGAACAACATAACATAAATAACATTTATCCACCCGCCAAAAAATAAATCAACATATACATATCACACAATTTGACATCAGGAGTTAAATTAAGACCAGGCCATAAATACATGTGATACGGATACAGGAAATGGTGAGAACATATCAAAGGCATTGCAAATAGTGAAACTAATGAAAAACTTTTTTTGAATATAAATCTTGCAGATAACAGATTTGGTTCTTAAATGTAGATGCAAGGCTGAGTTTCAGGTCCAAGTTCATTTTGCAACAACCCCTTCTCACTGATGGGTGCAAACAAAACTGATGATTTCAGGAGGGGTGTTTTTAATTAGCAAAACTCCCAGCAACTCTCAACATATTGACACACAAAATAATTAACCTTATGCTGGTAAGTGGTGTCGTCCTCTGAATCTTTAGTCTGCAGGTTAGCCCAAGCTGTTACCTAGGTCAAACATAACAATTTGTACCCCTCTTGGCTCATTATTCATCTTATTTGAACATTGTAGAGGCACTACCAAGTGACAAATCCAGGCTTAAATTCTGATGAACTCTCAGTCTAAAGGTAAAACGTACCAGAACAACTTAAGGGTTGTAATCTATGCCAAACTGCCTGGGGAAAAAGGCAATAGTTTATTAGCCATTACCTAAAACACAAAGAAAAATACGACATAACTTGAACATTTTAAAAACATTTTCTTTTGATCTTGATGTCATATTAAACTCAAATGCTGTAAAACTAGAATGGAGTGTAAGCCAGACTAATGTTTTGTTGATTTTTTAAAATAAAAAAAGGTGATAATGAGCCAAAAGAAAAAATTACACCATATTCATGCTTTAGAATCTCTCAACGGCAGAAAGGGACTGCTCCCTGCTCCTGTGGTGTCAGTGATGTGAAACCACTTTGACTACAACTGATTCTCCTCAGTTGACCCGACATGCTCGTATCATGAGCAGCTGCAACAAGATGAAGAGGGGTGAAACAATTAGGCCAAACCAGAGGTCCCTGGCCTGTTCCTCCTCAGCCAGCTTTTGGCACAGCAATACCTCGCACACCAGCTTCAGGCAGAGCACTGTCAACACCCAGAGGAGCCGCAACACTGCAAGGCGCTTCTCGTTCTCTTGATAAAGTCGGATGGACACGATTGCTGTAAAATAGGTGCTGAGGCCGTCCGCGGCAAACAGTGGAACAAACACTAGCCACCAGCTCAGCATGGGGGTGAACATGTCGGCTCTCAGGGCAACCAGCATGCTGAAGATCAGCAAAGCAAGCAGGTGAAGGAAGATTTCAAAGGTGGCAAAACCCAGCCATTGGACCAGTTCCCTCAAGGAGAACAGCATTGTTGAGAATAGCAGTGACTTCAACTAGGGATGGACTGACTGAGAACAGCCAAGCCGAGTACTAGGCAGTCCTAATTAGTAACAGAGGTGCTCCAAGGGTTGAGAGGCAGCAGGTTCAGGTTAATAGTCACTTCAAACTTAAAACGTGAGCTTATTGATATTGCAGATAGGACCCACTGTTGGCTACATCTTCACATCCAGCCTGAGAATGACAAATGCATGAGATCAATAAGAAGATGATCACAGAAACCGTCAGATGTCTATGAGAAGGAAACCAAGGCATTAAAAGAGAAAACACTATGGGCTGCATTTAATAAGACATCACACCGCACAATGTCAAATATAAGTCAACCTCTGATTACTTCGAACTAAACAAGATAGTTGATCATTTTAATGCAGTGGTACTGGATGATAACCATAAATATAATGAGGCATAATCCATCTGTTTTCAAATATAGGGCCTATGAGATGAGATTTCTCACTTTGTCATGTAGTTAAATGGTTTGTTTAGACTAATTGTCAGAAAATGTGTGTCTGGTAATGTCATTATATTCCAACTACCAAAGCAAACAATCAAAATCAAGCTTCTATAACATCTAAAAAAGCAGGATAATCGATCGCTTCAATGTGATGATACTGTATGATATCCACTAATACGATGAAGAACCCCTTAATTACGAACACAACTCATGTGTACACATATTAAGAATGCCCGTTCCTGTAATAATACTTCAGTTTACCTTAACACAGTTGAGTGTTATCCCTTTCCACAGAGTTAACAGTTAAACTGTAGCAACAAAACCATACTACGAATATAGTAGCGTCGTAGCTTCTGTTTTAGACATCGCTGTTGAAGAATATCGCGAGAACACAAAAACCTGATCGAATGGTGCCCGATAAGTCCAAATCTTATTATTTCGCAGTCGAGTATACTTATCTTACTTTTAAAGCGTTATTTTTTTTGTCCTAAATTATTGTATTATATGTGATATCGTAAACAAATCAGCGTATTGTTTCTGATACATGACCGGGATTGCAGTATATAATTTAAATTTGAATTAAGTTCCGGTCTGTAGGCGGCGGTATGCAGTAACGGCGATACACCGAAGAAGAAGTATTTTAGAGTTACTGAACAGAAGTGCAGTGAAGTTGACAACTCTCTCGTCTTGAGGTGAGCACGCTGACTTAATTCATACTACTTGCTATACTTTAAATAGTGATGGCGAGATGGAGCTTCATAAAGCATTGGAAGCGTTCCATCCAATTGGTTCACTCATGTGTTGAAGCTTCACGGTGCTTCATTTTCTCTATTGTGCCATCAAGTGGACAATAAATGTAATCCGTACAGCGTGATCATAATGAGACTATGGCTTTTGTGTATGAATCATTAAATGAATTAATGAATGATGTGATGCTGCCTTCCAGGGTGACCCCGCCTCTGCCCACTGGCTTGTGGGACAGGCTCCAGTCCCCCCGCAACCCCATTAGGGGGATCAGCGGTTACCATAAGGGCCGGATGGATGTTTGTGATGCTTATACATAAATTATAAACTTTTATATATACTTTTATATGTCTGTCTTTATGATGAAATGACAGGGAAGCTTGAATAGATCGCAAACAAACTCGTAATTAAGTCTCAAGTCCACAAAATGGGAGTGGGGGGGATTCATTGCATTTTGCTGGCCCTTATATTCAAATAGACCGACAAACCGCGAACCACTTTCTGAATCAGTCACGTGGTACGGCCGGTTCGCGAGGCTTCAAACGTCACCACATACGTCATCGACACTAGCCTCGATACGCGCTTCACAGAAATCATTCTGGATTTCTCAACACGCGCTTCGAAGCCTCGACACGGAGGGACACGTCTCTAGTTAACTGCAGTTTATCTTACTTGGTTTTACAGCCGAAGCCCATCATTTTATATGCAGACATTTATTATCCAAGGTAACAAAATTACATGTCGCAATTTTTTTACGTCCGACGTGTGGGGCTTGAAAATCACAACGAAATTGTTTTAATTGCTGTTTTCAAACGACGTTGCAAGGTTCAACGTCATTTGCTAACTGCATTTAAAATATGATCAGCAGATCCTGAAAGCAATGGAATTCTTGTGATTACTTAGGTCAGGCTGTACAACGCTGTGTACACATTAGCTTTAAGAACCGTTTGCTCTTCTACTGTTCTGCAAAGGTAACTTTTTTGTAATACCTTTAGTCAAATAATTTTAATACCCAAACAATTGACTGAGGGATTTTGAAAACTGTGGATACATTCATAAATGACAGAAGTGTGAAAATTATACTCTTCTGTTTTGCTGTCAGTTAACATGATTGAAGTAGCCTTTTGCTTTATTGGTCCATTCCAAGAAGCGCTTTACACTGAGGACTGGGCTGAAAGAAAAGAGGACCCCTGTAGTCTTTTGACTACTCCGAGTCTGAGCCATGCTGCTGTTTGGAAAAGCAGCCCCATGCATGCTTGCTCAGTTTTAACGGTGACTGAGCTGGGGAGTTTTGTTATTACTTTTTTTTTTTAAGAAACAAAGAGAAAACTAAATCTGAGCTGTTCTTTGCGTAACTGTGTGTTTTGTCTCTGTGGGTTTAAGTTTTCAAGGATAAAGATGCAGACGCCGGCAGAATCAGTAATCCATAGTGGCTATTTCCATCCAACGCTCCGTTACTGGCAGACCTGTGCAGCCGATCTCAGACCAGACAATCTCATCTACCCAATATTCATCACGTGAGTGACAAGCTGCCATTTGGTGTGGGCTGGAGTTTGGCTGAGGCGAGATATTGCTGATGTGGGGGAAGGAATGATTCAGTGATAATCTTGATGTGTGATTGATATGAGAGGGTTGAGTTCATTGTTATACTGATGATGCACACAGAGGGGGAGGGCATAACAACAGGACCATAAATTAGAAATGTAAAGTTCTGTACAGAGGGGAGAAGATAATTGTGTCTGATAATGGGAAATTCTGTCATATTGCTGTGAAGTTTTAAGCAGTGATTGTCCATTCAGGTTTAGTAAGTCCGCAAGGCCTTTTTATGATGATAGAGAGGATAACGAGGGGTAATTGATGTTGCGGAAATGTAGAGTTGGGTATTGTCAGCATAACAGTGAAAATGAAGTCCATGGTGCCTAATGATATGATCAAGGAGAAGGATTTAGTTTGAGAAGAGGGAGTTGTTGACTGAAACTAAATGGGTTTACTGAACAAAATGGTAACGTTTGGAGAGGTAAAAGTTGTGCCAGATAAATTGAAGTGTTAATTGATTGTAGGTGGTGGTGTGACCAACTGTATAAATTGTTCTGTGTCAATCTGTGTTACAGAGACAGTGCAGATGCAGTGGAGCCCATTGATAGCATGCCAGGACAGGCAAGGTAAAGTCTCACACAGACACATATTCATGAATCAGTGATGCATATCTTTTCCAGTGAGATCACCATTAACTTAAAATAAAAGAATGAATCAGAGTGTCAGCTTGTAGTCGGCTTATACCCACTGAGGGTGTTGTCTTCAGATAAAAAAGGCAGGAAGGGTGGACCCAGAGGCAAATACTGGACCTTGACTGAGGCATGAGATAAGAAGGGAATTCGTTAGATCTTTATTTGAGTCGAAACTAAACTTCAAATGAAATGTCACTCTTTGTCCTTCCTCACTTTAAAAGTGTAGTGAAGTACATTCAGGTCCTGAATTTAAAGGGAATCCACATTTTTTACTCTAATTCCACAGGCGTTTTGTAATTTTATTTTACCTCTTCTCCTTTTTTTTTTCTTTTTCTTTAAATCCATAGATATGGGGTGAATAAGCTGGAGGAAATGTTGGGGCCACTCGTTGAAAATGGCTTGAAGTGTGTGCTGATCTTTGGTGTCCCGGCAAAAATAAAAAAGGTATGACAGACTTAAAGCGAGTAGAAAGGCATGTTCACACACCCAACTAAAAATAAAAATTGGGATTTTTTTTGTCATCAACAATTGTTTTTAGATATCTAAAAGAAAGAAATAAGATAAAGATGCAATTTTATCTTAATTGTGTCAAATCTGCTGCTTTCTAAATCCCCTAGTCTCTGTAAATTTGCTTCACATGAACATTCCACAATATTTTCAGAGACATTATCTATTTGGATTTTTGGATTGTAGCAGTTTTTGGGAGGAGTGTGTCTGATTAGCCTTTGAGCCAGCTGGCCTCAAAACATGGACAAGGAAAGACAAACTTGTTAAAAAATCTTTTATGCACTCTCATTAGGATGACAGGGGTTCGGGTGCTGACACCGATGACACGCCAGCTGTGCTAGCGGTTAAAAAAATCAGACTTTTGTTCCCGGAGATGCTTGTGGCCTGCGATGTTTGTCTCTGCCCCTATACGTCACATGGACACTGTGGTCAGTGTCTCCTCATGAAGTTGACCTTCTGCCATGTTACATAAGATGCACTATAATTGCAGTTTCCTTATTTATGACATTTCTTCACTTTAGGAATCCTGAACAATGACGGCACCCTGAACAATGACAAAAGCTGTCTGCGTTTGGCAGAAGTAGCACTGGCTTATGCACGGGCTGGTAACTCTTTCACTTTGTATTTTTTTAACTGTTTTTATTGAAATAAGTCAACTCTATTTAATTTTTTTAATTTCTCACAGTCACAACATTTTACAAGGAAGCTGATGCACATTATGTGCAAACGAATGTCAGTCAGTAAAGTTCGCTCTGTAAAACAGGTGTAAAACAGGTGTGCCTGGTTTAGTTGCCCCATTTCTTGGTTCTCTTCATTGGTCCTCCACCACAGCCCACAATTGTTCTAGAATTTTCCTAAAGAACTCCCACAGGGAAATTGTCAGTTGTTATGAGATAAAACTGAACATCCATTTGAAAAAGCGTAAATGTTTGTTTCCAGACTTGTCATCTGTTTTACTGTCTCCCTGGTGGTAATTAGGGAGTCAAGCAGAAGCAGGACACTTTGCCCCTTTGATGTCTGTGTCCAAAGTCTTGCGGTGTCAAAACCACAGTAAAAAGCATTTTCTCCAATTATAGTTTGAGTTTTTTTAAGATTGAGAAAATTCCCCCGCTCAGCAGCTTGATGTCCTTAGTACTGGTAGAACGAGAGAAGTGTCTCATCCAAGCATGATGAAGTTAATTTACGCCTATGTTTCATGTTATGCAACACACCCTTTAGTTGCTTTTCCAGTAAAACCGCCAGTTATTTGGAACTCTTTCGAAACACTACTGGGCAACAACTCAGCAAATTCAAGGTGTTTGATTCTTGCACAAATTTCCAGTGAGATAGTGATTATTTTAAAGCTCTACTTACTGTCTGGCAGAATTCTGACATCGAGAGGCCCTTGTCATGTTTTAAATCTGTATGGACTGTTGAATTAAATCCTCAGGTTGTTCCAGCTGGATCCATTTTTAAATAATTATAAATCATTTTTATCTAATAGATTTCGATAAAAATGACTATTCTACTTGTTTTTAACTTGCATTTTACAGAATCATATCATAAGTCATTTACCAGTATTGAAACTTGTGGATGTAAATTTAGGAAATTAAGTCCAGTTCAATTAAGTTTTAGCTTGTTCCTCTTACATTGTTTTAGTCTTTCTAATGCTTTGTGACTTTCTTGGAAGTGCCTTTTCTTGTTTAATTGGTTCTCCAGACAGTGAATAAAACAGACCACGCCTTGCTTTTCCCATAGGTTGTCACATCATCGCTCCCTCTGACATGATGGATGGAAGAGTTCGAGCAATAAAAGAATTTCTGCTGTCTAACGGCTTAGGAAACAAGGTGAATCTGCTAGAAAACGCACAAAATTCTTCTAGTAGTCATTGTAGCAGTGTGATTCATTATGGGTATGTGTCAGCATTAACACTTAACTCTAATTTTTTCTCAATCTTGGGAAATCATATTCTCTTTCTCTAACCAGATGACTGGTAGATTTATTCCATTGTTTTTATGATTATTATTTTAACCCTTTAACATCCTGCTCAACCATTTGGTAGAGCACATTTTTCAGTGATAATACTTGTTCATAGAGGACTACTAGTATAGCAAGTAGACTTACCTAAACTAGCTCTAAAATCTAGTTTAGGCATGTTATACCTAAATTAAGCAGGAGTTTAGTATAAGATGATTCTTTTTTTCATATTTCACACTTTCAAAGTGTCTTCCCAACTGTGTGGAAAAAAAAACATTGATTTTGATTTTTTTTTTTTTTATTGCTCTAGAGATTTGGGGGAAAAAACCCTCTAGGTGTAGATTTTAAAGGTTTAACGAAAGGGAAACACCCAGACATCAGTATGAAAAGTGGTTGGTTATACATGTAGGTCATGAAATGAATTCATGTTATGCAGAAATAAGTCAAATTTTGCCAATATTTTTGACTGATTTTATTTCTTTTTTCTTGGATTTGTATTACTTTTATCTCTCATCTGGTACCTTTTTATTGAGCTATTTCTTACCTTTAGTCTGTTTTTTATTCTATATTTTACTGTACAATATTTCAGTAAGCGTTATTGTTTTTAAAGAACTTTTATAATTAGTATGAATAATAATTTCTAAGATAATTAAGTGTTGCACAGACCAATTAAATGTTATGTTAAAAGCAGTCCTTTTATTGTCTGCTCTCCTTCTAGGTGTCAGTACTGAGCTACAGTGCAAAGTTTGCCTCTTGCTATTATGGTCCTTTCAGGTAAGTAAGAACCCATGATGTGGTGTCATCGTTTACCTAAAACTCGTTTTTGACTGATGGAGCATCGTCCCTGCTGTTTGTCTGCAGGGATGCTGCACAGTCTAAGCCTACATTTGGAGATAGGCGGTGCTACCAGCTGCCCCCTGGAGCCAGAGGACTTGCTATTCGTGCTGTGGTAAGATGGTTTGTGTGTGCAAATATTTGTGCGTGCAGTGTGAAAGAAGTTGTCTTACTTACTTTATGCAACAGGAGCGAGATGTGAGAGAGGGAGCGGACATGGTGATGGTGAAGCCAGGTCTGCCATACCTGGACATCATGAGGGAGGTCAAAGATAAGGTGAGTGTGTTACAACATAAAATCAGACCTAAACAGTAGATTCAAGATTTATGTGGTTGTATTGAAACCTTTTTAAGTATCTTATTTTACATGTTGTCCCTCCAGTTTCCAACTCACCCCCTGGCGGTGTATAACGTGTCGGGGGAGTTTGCAATGATATGGCATGGAGCGAATGCTGGGGCATTTGATTTACGGGCTGCTGTGATGGAAGCCATGACCGCCTTCCGCAGAGCAGGTGAGGGAAGTAGACATGTCACACCAGTTTGATATACAGGTCAAACAGGAGTAAAACTTCATGCATTTGGTTCTATTTTGAACCAAATAGATATTATTCTGTGGGAATATCAGAAAAGTATGGTGGTGGTGTTCAGAGACAGTGGGAGGAGAGATTAACCCACCTCAATGAAGGACAGTCCTTCTTTTTGTGAGATTTAATGTTATTTGTTCAGTCAGTCTCAGAAATATATGGTGTATATTGCTTTGATTCCATTTTCTGCTCAAACAGCCCCAAATCAGAACACTATAAACTTGTCAATATGCATCCATTTTAATCATTTTAGGCTGGTAACTAGAATTAAGACAACAGAAAAACAAGCTATTAATGACGTGATCAGAGGCTGAAATACTGCCCCTTTACTGTACACTCTGATATATATATATACAGGGATTGGACAATGAAACTGAAACACCTGGTTTTGGCCCTACACCATATTAGTATGGTGTAGGGCCTCCTTTTGCGGCCAATACAGCGTCAATTCGTCTTGGGAATGACATATACAAGTCCTGCACAGTGGTCAGAGGGATTTTAAGCCATTCTTCTTGCAGGATAGTGGCCAGATCACGACGTGATGCTGGTGGAGGAAAATGTTTCCTGACTCGCTCCTCTAAAACACCCCAAAGTGGCTCAATAATATTGAGATCTCGTGACTGTGCAGGCCATGGGAGATGTTCAACTTCACTTTCATGTTCATTAAACCAATCTTTCACCAGTCTTGCTGTGTGTATTGGTGCATTGTCATCCTGATACACGGCACCTCCTTCAGGATACAATGTTTGAACCATTGGATGTACATGGTCCTCCAGAATGGTTCGGTAGTCCTTGGCAGTGACGCGCCCATCTAGCACAAGTATGGGGCCAAGGGAAAACCATGATATGGCAGCCCAAACCATCACTGATCCACCCCCATGCTTCACTCTGGGCATGCAACAGTCTGGGTGGTACGCTTCTTTGGGGCTTCTCCACACCATAACTCTCCCGGATGTGGGGAAAACAGTAAAGGCGGACTCATCAGAGAACAATACATGTTTCACATTGTCCACATCCCAAGATTTGCGCTCCTTGTACCATTGAAACCAACGTTTGGCATTGGCACAAGTGACCAAAGGTTTGGCTATAGCAGCCCGGCCGTGTATATTGACCCTATGGAGCTCCCGACGGACAGTTTTGGTGGAAACAGGAGAGTTGACGTGCACATTTAATTCTGCCGTGATTTGGGCAGCCATGGTTTTATGTTTTTTGGATACAATCCGGGTTAGCACCCGAACATCCCTTTCAGACAGCTTCCTCTTGCGTCCACTGTTTATCCTGTTGGATGTGGTTCGTCCTTCTTGATGGTATGCTGACATTACCCTGGATACCGTGGCTCTTGATACATCACAAAGACTTGCTGTCTTGGTCACAGATGCGCCAGCAAGACGTGCACCAACAGTTTGTCCTCTTTTGAACTCTGGAATGTCACCCATAATGTTGTGTGCATTGCAATATTTTGAGAAAAACTGTGCTCTTACCCTGCTAAATGGACCTTCAAAGTCTGCTCTTATTGGTTCCATGTGCAATTAATGAAGATTGGCCACCAGGCTGGTCCAATTTAGCCATGAAACCTCCCACACTAAAATGAGAGGCGTTTCAGTTTCATTGTCCAATCCCTGTATATCTCTCCAGGAAGATAAAAACTCACTTAAACATAGTTATCAAAACATCACGAAAATATCAGCGGACGAAGGCTTTACACATTGGTAACATCATTTCCTTTGCATCTGGTTTGGAATGTGTGACAACTAAGATAAAAAGATGTACAATGATATGGAGCATTTTCCATATTGTCCCTACCTTCCTGATTAAACAAACGTCTGTTTTGGGGTGTCTTATGAGGTCATGACACTATTCATCTCTAAGAGCAACTCTATGTATCATTTGATAAAATCCTAAACGCTTTTGTTTGATTTGTGATGCAGGTGCTGATATAATCATCACCTACTACACCCCTCAGCTGCTCACCTGGCTCAAGGAATAAAGCACTAGGGGCTGAAGCTAAAGGATGGATAAAAATAAGAGTGGATCAGCAGCACTTTGAAGATGCAAAACGTTCTGGTGACTCAGTCATTGTATTTTATTTACTGAAAGCAACCAATCTTTTTTAGGATATTCAGACAACGCAAACCTACTTTTCTCTTTACCTTTTGAAAGGGCTGAAAATTGTTGTTTGTGTCTTTGTTTTTCTAACAGAGAAGGTCAGTCCTGAATAATGTTTAGTTTAAATGAGAGCTCAAATCTATCAAATCTATCTTCACTGAACTTATGATCTACATATTTGTATGAGTCATGATTAAATGTCTATGACAGCTGCTTGAGGGATTTTAAAATCATGCTAAATTCCACTCGAGTTAGTGGATAATAAATTCCTTCAAATCTCTGATGTGTGTTTGTATGTGTTCATTTAAAGTTTGTGTTGCTTAATGTAATACCATATTCCTTTTGCCATTCTTCTTCCACTGTTAAGTTTATCTTTAAAGCACCCTTCAGCCATTGTTCTTTTACTTTCTACTGACTTTTTTCCACATTTCAGTGTTCTCTTTTGCCGATGGGTTTTCAGCCTTTCTTTGTGGCGCCATCTTTTGGTGATTTTAAAAATCAATTGACACTAGATTTTCAGCCAATTCCACTCATGAAAACTCTTCAAACTCCTTCAGATTACTTTTAGGCCATAGGCTGAAGCTCAAAATGTGGCTAGAAATAGGATTTCGCTCCACTAACCTGGGGACTACTTTTGATAGCACTTTTCCAATCTTGAATATGTACTGGAGCTGGGAAAAAAAGTTCTCCATGGGATTCCTGCCAGTATTTGAGAAAATGGGTGCCAAAGGTGGCAGTTTACCCAAAAAAGTGACGATTTTGGGTCTTCTACCATTTTCAAACCCTTGTAACTTTTTTATTATTAATGCGATTGTACTCAAATTTTTTATTCCCACAGACATTCATACTTACTCTGAGCTTCTAAAGCGGCAATGTTCTACGTGCTTTAAGTAAGAAGTTATTCTAAATGAAAACATACACTTTTTAACAATTTCGCAATTTCCCAAAATATATATTTATTGCACATGAAAACTGCAATTCTTTGAATTTTCAATTGAAAAACTCTAATAGAAAGATATCCCTTTGTGTCTGGTTAATTAATAACTATTTAAAGTGGTGTGAATTTTATCACCTAGCAGACCAGTTACAATATTGGAAGCAAAATTTTCGGAAATAACAATACAAACTAGAAGAATCTTCAAGTAAATTTATACTGTTTATTCAATGGATCTGATATCAACTTAAGCAATCATGGAATTAATGAACAAATAATAACAAAAATAATAATAACAACCCCCCCCACCACCACCACCACCACTCCATCCCCACACCAACAAGAGTTACTTCTTCTGTTTGTTGCAACATTTATGAATATTTTCAGAGAGAATTAATCATCTTCAGATAAACTGAAAGAGAATAAGGAGCCTACATATAATTTTTCAATTACTTTAGAACAATTCTACCAAGCACTAAGCATGCCAAAGTTGATATCTCCCAAATTTTATACATGTACATATATAATTATAAAGACCGATTCTAACCATTTATAAATCTCCACTCAGTAACTATTGACAAATGGCAATAGCAGTGATAACATGATTTTGAAAAGGGGTAAAGTTTTCAGATGCCTCATAACAATAGGAAGAATAATAATCATAATTATTGATTATTTATAAGAACAATGGAAAGTATTAATATCACAACATTAAAAAATGAACTATTATTTATAAGCTACAAGATTGTTTTTTTCACATTTACTACAAAATTCAGTTTACTATGGACAAATATTCAAATTGGTTTTCAGAAATGAAATGGTTTCAATCAGCTAACCCGTGGGTTGTGAATTCACTCCTCTGAGGCAAGACTTAATATGGAAATGTACAGGGAATTAAAGAAGGCACAAAGACATTTCTGTTTTTAAACAATTACTTTTGTTGGACCCAGCAAGCCTTGAGATGTTAAACTTTTTAGGATCACTTCGGGTTGTTACGACTTGAGAATTACAATAGAAAATACAAAGAAACTATGAATCATCAAAATCATAGGAGGGATAGGAGTCTCCTCCTATCACTTCCTGCAGGTGTTCCTAGAGCTGTGGAGTCTGGATCTGTGATTGGGAGTTTCCTGCTGCTCCGTGTTCCTGCTCTGCTAATACTCTGCATAGTGTTATTTCTGTCATAATTCCTATCATTATAATTAGTATCAATATACATAAAATTGAATTGAATCGAACTTTCGTTGTAGAACCGTTTGTGCTACCGGACTTCAATTGCGACACAATCTTTTCCACGTACATCCTTGAGGATGGATTCGTCCATTTTCACTTCAGCTGCATTAACCAAACTCCCTAGCAAAGAGAGAGTTAAAGTTCAATCATAAACCAGCTGCCAACAAGTAATATCAAATACCTTTTCTCTCTTTTACCAGACTGAACTGGTAGTTGGGTGACAAATTTAAAATCTAACCATTATTTGACAAATCAATTAACTATCATCACTTCAAGTTCATAATAATGCCTTTTATTATTATGAGGCCCTACACATAGCCTTCATACCCCTACTTCATAATGATGTGAGCAGGCTAGGGCTGGCACCAATTACACATGCTTTTTTTTAAAGCGCTCTGATTGGCTAACGGCTAGGCGGCTTGATTCGAGCGTACTTTATCGGGGTGATCAGGCTACCGATATAGTTACATTTTTAAGTAATTATTGTAAAAATACTGGCGCAAAGCGATTGGAGAACTTTTGGTTATGAGTTCAAAATGCACTAAGGATTTTTTTGCAGGTGTCATTTAGTAGTCCCTCAATAAGTGGAGCGAAACTTAACGATACAGGCTTCAGCCTATGGCCTATTTCACATGCTTTAACATCGATACACAAATTATACCTTAAAACATAGGAAAATGTCTCCTTTCAGCCAATGTAACTTTCAAAGCATTTAAATTTTTAGATTTTGAGCTGTGAGCCTCAGTCAGAGCTATACCACCAAGATTTCATTGAAAATCAATACTAAAATCCTATTTTGAAACTGCTCCCGTTGGCCCATTTCTGGCCTAATTTAAAAAAGAAAAACACCAACGCGATCCTGAATCTCTCCAGGCGGTCATGGTCTCGACAGAATGTATGTGGCTTTTATAGTTTTGGCTCAGGAGGTCAGAATGGAAAGGGAACTTTTGGCTGTTGAACCAGCTTTGACCAAACTGCCTGTGTATCTGAGTGGACCCAGCTGGCCGTCAACATGACTATTAATGACTGCTCTGCTCTGTGTCCTTCAGTCAGCATATAGAATTGTGTATATGCTGGACTTGTAGAAATAACAACAATAGCTATGCTCTCACTGTACCACAGTTTGTCTGTGTTACATTGAGATGGTTAGCAAGTGGGAGCTTCCTATATTCTGTTGCTGCACCCTCTGTTTGCGGTGGACAGCAAAAGTCCTTTTTGTTTGCTGCAGCAGGTTGGGTACTTTTGTCAGGCAACTGAAGGACATCTTAATCTAGCGAAGTCAAGTCTGCTGTGCTGTGGAACTGCAGCTTTTCCTTTCCGGCTCCCCCCGGTCGACCACATCAACGGACCTTTTAACTTTTTGGGTGTTTACCTGGGGGAGGAAGAACATCTAGCGGCAGAGAAGTCGTGGACCGCAGTGACGACAAAGATTGACAACATCTTGAATCTCTGGAGGATGAGAGCCTTCTGATGCAACGGAAGGGTGGTTGTGACCCACTCCCTCGCAGTGACGCAAGTGCACACTGCACGTCCATGCCTTGCCCCAGAGCAAAAGTCATGGTTACACATAAAACAAAGTGTTAGAATTGGGCTATAGTTACTGTTATTTACATTAGAAGAAACAGTCTATAGTTATGTTGGAAAACGATAGAGATATTGCCTGGTGAATTTTTTGCAGGAAGAGATTTGTTTTTAAGCATTAAGCCAATAACACTTCAGTTCATAGTAATCATAACTGTTTAAAAATTTTGTTTAGTATAGTTGACTAATATTGTGTTGGACTTTGAAACTATAATACATTTATTTTTAGAGTGCAAGTCATATCCTTGTGAAAATTGTTGAAAACAGGTGCACTTTTTGTCTATGGAAAGGTTTATTTTTTGTCTTTATTGGTATTGTTGTGTTTTTTTATTTAGTTTTCCCCCTTATGTCTTTATTTAATAGTATTTGTTGACTTTACTTTTATTATTTTGCAGTTATTTTATTAGATTTTTATATATTTATTTCCTGAAGTATTTTTCTTATTTATTAAAGTGTATTTTCTTTTGTAAATTTATTTATTTATTCTTTATTCTTTTCGTAGGTGTATATTTTGTCCAAAAAATGCTTATTTGAAGGACTTAGTATTTTTCTAATAAGAAAATGAAGATAAACAAATAAAAAATAAACAATTAATCAAAACTAGCTAAAAAGGAATTGGAAATGTTCTTTTACATAAAAAAAATGTCACACTTTTCAATATTTATTAAAAAATAAGCATCTCTCCCAAAGTTATGCACAAAAAAGGTTTTCTCTCTAACTTAAAACTAACTCTGGTAGCCAAGAAATTGACATTTCGTTGTCTAATTCACCTTGTGTATTTGACAATGACAATAAAGGAAGTCTATCTATCTAAAAGTAAACATTCAAAACTAGGTAAAGTGCCTTTTCTTTATCACATACCATGCAAAATCTAAGTTGTACCACACAACTCCAAGCTCCACACAAGCTCCGGGGGGATCCCGAGGCGTTCCCAGGCCAGCCGTGACACATAGTCCCTCCAGCGTGTCCTGGGTCTTCCTCTGGGCCTTCTTCCGGTGGGACGAGCCCGTAACACCTCCCCAGGGAGGCGACCAGGAGGCATCCTAATCAGATGCCCGAGCCACCTCAACTGGCTCCTCTCCACGTGGAGGAGCAGCGGCTCCACTCTGAGCCCCTCCAGGATGGGCGAGCTTCTGACCCTATTTCTAAGGGAGAGCCCAGCCACCCTGCGGAGGAAACTCATTTCGGCCGCTTGTATCCGCGATCTCGTTCTTTCGGTCACTACCCAAAGTTCGTGGCCATAGACGAGGGTGGGAACGTAGATCGACCGATAAATTGAGAGCTTCGCCTTTAGGCTCAGCTCTCTCTTCATCACGACAGACCGGTACAGCGCCCGCATTACTGCAGACGCCGCACCGACCCGCCTATCCATCTCACGCTCCCTACCCCCATTTGCGAACAAGACCCCGAGATACTTGAACTCCTCCACTTGGGGAAGGACATCCGCTCCGACCCGGAGAAGGCACTCTACCCTTTTCCGGTGAGAGACTATGGTCTCGGACTTGGAGGCACTGATCCTCATCCCAGCCGCT